AGTGTCCATTGTCATTGATGAAATGTTCAGTTTGGTGAGTTCAACAACTTTCACTTTTGAACGGATTTTCTCTTGTATTTTGGCGTACATTGCATCCGTTGTGGAACTCATCGACCTAAATGATTTCATAGGGATGTTAATTCCACCCGTTAAGACCGGTTTTTCTTTATTAGGGTATGACGTTATAGTCACTTTATTAGTATCAGAAATCCCTTTAAACCTCCACTGATCAATTACTATTTTCTCTGGTACGGAATAATTGCCTGGAGCTATACGAATGGTTAAGCCTTCTGATGGAACAGTTGTTTGTGATAAAGTCGCTACACACGCTTGAATTGTTTTGAATGGTCTAGACTCACTGGACCCATCAAGTTCGTCACTTCCAAGTGTTTGGTCGACGTATAAAGTTTTTGACATTGACAAAATTACTAGAAGAGTAGAAACAAAAAATGTCATTTTACTTTTCATTTGAGTTTTTCCAGTTTGTCGAAGTTTTTCAATCGTTTTTTTTATTGAAAAAAAGTTTTCGGTGTATTGTGCGAAAACAGTATCCACTCTCCCAATCATTCGATAATTTAAATACTATTTTTTGTTTATTTTTCGATAACTCATTTTCGTCGAATAATTTCAATTGTATTTTTTCAATTTTTCTTCTTTTTTCATTTGTATTATAATTATTAATTTAAATAATTATTATAAATTATAATATTGTTGTTTTTTTTAGTCTCTATGTTATTAGTTGATTATAATAATTTAAATAATATTCATTTATTTGTTAGAGTTAACTAATAAGAACTATAAAAATCTAAATAAACATAATGTCAAAACTTCTATAGAGATAAGTAACTGTTTTTATTAAAACTCTTTATGGTTTAATAATTATATATAACTATGAAAATATGATAAAGTAAACATGTTTAATTATTTGGATTCCTAACTAAATCAGTTAAACTATAAAATTATTATAAATAATAATTTAAGTAATTATTAAAATTAACTCAAAGTGTTCAATAAATTTCATAATAATTTTTTTCATTAAACTAAACAATAAATTGTTCAATATTATTATATTATTTAAATTATTTAAAAACAATAAAATAATTTTAAAATATTAGATTTATTTAATTGTAAAAATATAAATAAATATACAATAATACATAACTTATTCACTCTTGACAATTGACGATAAATGTGTCTCTTCATATGAACCAAGGAGTCTAGAAACGACTTCACAAAAAGACTTAAACTTTTTTTCACTTTGAATCCTTTTAAGTTTTTCGAACACTTTAAGTGAAACTCTGATTTTTGGATATCTCTTCTCTGAGTTTGAGTCAGACTTGAATGGCTTTGACTCTTCGTTTAATTTCTTTGACACTCGTGGTGTGATTGGACTTGACATAATATTCTCAAACATGTCTTTCGAGAAGAAAGGTTGATTCTTTTTTTCAACATTGATATACAATTGTACTGGGTATTCTACAAAAGGGTGTAACGGGAATTGTTGCATTTGATTCTGAGTACCAGTTTTGTTTTTTTAAATGGGAAGATTTGTGCTCTTGGCAATATATTTGAAATAAAGTCGGCTTAAAGAGCCAGAACAATAACTTTTTGTCTGTTTAACTATATACTATTCGTTTTTTTATAAATATACCGATTATTTGTTTGACATTTTTAAGACGTGTTCACTCGGGATAATTACCAAAATAGTACGGAAATATACCAAAAGTGAACTATAAATTATTATTTTGTACCCAAACTTTATTTATTGAACCTCTGTGATTTTTTTAAGTTATTATTATAAATATAAT